CTCATGTTAACAAAGATATACCCTCTAGGTTCACTTGTACACAAGAACTGTCTCATGTTAACAAAGATATACCCTCTAGGTTCACTTGTACACAAGAACTGTCTCATGTTAACAAAGATATACCTTCTAGGTTCACTTGTACACAAGAACTGTCTCATGTTAACAAAGATATACCCTCCAAGGTTCACTTGTACACAAGAACTGTCTCATGTTAACAAAGATATACCCTCTAGGTTCACTTGTACACAAGAACTGTCTCATGTTAACGTTCAATTTAATGGATCAAGCAGCTTCTTAATTAGATCATGTAAAGATGTGAGATTACTGTTATTCAGTTTAATGGATCAAGCAGCTTCTTAATTAGATCATGTAAAGACGTGAGATTACTGTTGTTTAAATCAGTGGACCAATCCCAGCATGATGATTAGCTTATTTATTAGAAGTTAAGATATACTTGTTGTTTGAAAATGGATTGTTTTTTATTTACGTATGAAGGAGAAATATAACAAATACATTGATTAGGTCAGATCAAAACTCAAACTGTAGCATTAAACTATTTTGGATAATTGGCATTAAAATGCCTTAATGAACTAAAAGAACCAAACAGAATTTAAGCAGCTGCCACTAAAACTTTAAAGATTCATCTAATGAAGGGCTTATCAAACATAACACTGAGTGAGCTAGAAAATACAGCTACAGAAAGGATTTATCTCATACATAGTTTTGTAAGGGAAGTTTAAAAATTGATAGAATGTTGTTGATGTAACTTGTTCTTTAACAGAATTCTTGTGGGTTGACATAAGTAGTTTGATAAGTCATGAAAACATGAGTGATTTACTTTAGTATAAAGAACCATACTCTTGGTTCAGAGAATCTCTTTTTGTCTCAGATAATGTTGTATTCCAGTTTTCTATTGACTATTAAATCTGATAAAGTAATGTTTGAATAAAAGTGTCAGTCAGATGAGTGTTACTTATAAGTTTGTTTGTTGAAATTTCATAATAACTAGATCAGAACTGACCTACTTAAACTGTTCTTTCAGGATGATTCAACAAGTTCTAGAGGATCTAACAGCTGACAAACATGACACAGCCTTACAGACAGAGATCTTCAAGGATAGGCTTCATGTTAACTTCAACTTGACGGGAGATCAGAAGGTAGACGATGCCTTCCACTTGGAGAACATGGTGTGTATATATGTTACTAGGATAAGAGTAGGAAAATTTTATCAAAACATTATGGAGACTTAATATTAAAAGGCTAAAATTCAGGGAACTAGTGTAATTATTTAAAATATATTAAAATACTCAAATGATCGACGTTGCTTAGTGCTCAATTAAAATCCTTATGCTAAGACCGATCAATGATCTTAAAAGACACTCTACAAATTTTGATATCAATTCATGTAATCCTCAGGAGTGTGAAAAACACACTTTACATGTTTTAACGTCAATTCATGTCATCCTCAGGAGTGTGAAAAACACACTTTACATGTTTTAACATCAATTCATGTAATCCTCAGAAGTGTGAAAAACAAATACTGTGCAACCATATAAATACAGAAAGCCATTGGTCATGTGACTACTTAGTTTTCAAAAATGTTTCTCCAATGAAGGTTGTGAGCAGGTTTCCAGTTTTTTCTAATTTTATTCACTGGTCTATAGATGTGAATGCTATTTTTGTTTTATTTTTTAAATTTACAAAAAAATCAACATGACAAACCTTGGACATATGATAGAAACAACATTTCCTTTTTATCTATTTTATTAAATGTTGATTTTAGTTTACATTTTGATCATCATTTGTGATCTTGTTAAATGTTCTCACAGCTGTATTAACAATATTAGGCGAGAAACCTCTATCTAATGCTACATATTTGATTAATAACAGTTTATTTTTTAAATGTTCTGGATTAGAACTTAGCTTTAAAGACCTCTAAGCATAAGAATAAAAAGCTGACTTTGTATGACATGATCCTTGATGTGGTGGCATGATAACAGAAAAAGGTTTACAAAAGACAGTAGATTTTAACTTATTTTTGTTTTTCTTAAGTAATAGGTAGAAAAAATGGTAAACTATTATTTTCTTCAATTTCATAAGTAAATTTAATAGCAGGTTCAAGACTATTTAAGTAATTAACAAAAACTGGCAAGTTTTCTTTACCATGAATGTGTCATCGCCATACCTATCCAATATTTCTGGTTTAAGTTTATTATTCTGTAAAGCATCAGTTTCAAACCTATCCATGAAAAGATCACACAACAAGGGAGATAATGGAAAACTCATAGCTAGGCCTTCAGTCAGTTTATATATTTTATCAATAAATTGAAGAAATGAATTTTCCACACAAGTTCTTGTTAAATTTGTCTTATGTAACATTTCGATGACTGGAACATTGCTTATACTGAATTTGTCTTGAAAACAATAAATAGCTTGATCAATTGGTACTTTCATGAATAGTGATACAACATGATATCATCATGATATCACAAGTATATCATCATTATTTAGATTCACCTTATTTATTTTTTCTACAACTTCTATAAAATTTTCAGTAGAATAACTGTTTTTTACACACAGGAAAGAATACTTACATGATAAAGTTTAGCTACACTGTAAAAGGATGAACCTATGTTTGATACTATAGATCTATAGGAATTTCCTATTTTTTTAACTTTTGGTAAAGCATTAACATCTTGGAATTACAAAACTACTTGGAACCAACTATTTTTTCTGTGGGAGTTCAACTTATACAGTCATTTGTCATTGTTTGTTAAGGATGGCATAAATAAACTACTCATACTAGTCTCATCGTATGTACAGTGTTGTTTCTGTTTACACAAGTGTTCTTAATTTCTTGTTAAAGATTGCTACTCACTAGCCTTTCTGTGTGTACAGTGTTTCTGTTAATGATTACTACTTACTAGTCTTACTGTTTGTACAGTGTTTCTGTTAATGATTACTACTCACTAGCCTTACTGTGTGTACAGTGTTTCTGTTAACAATTACTATTCACATGGCTCACCATGTGTACAGTGTTGTTTCTATTTCTGATTTTGTTAATACAAGTACTAACTTCCATGGTTTCCTGGTGGTGTTCCTGTTAACACAAGTATACTAATCTTCATTGTTCCTTGATGGTGTTCCTGTTAACATAAGTATACTAACCTTCATTGTTCCTTGATGGTGTTCCTCTTTACACAAGTATACTAACCTTTGTTGTTTCTTGGTGGTGTTCATCTTTACACAAGTATACTAACCTTTGTTGTTTCTTGGTAGTGTTCCTCTTTACACAAGTGTACTAACCTTTGTTGTTTCTTGATGGTGTTCCTCTTTACACAAGTATACTAACCTTTGTTGTTTCTTGGTAGTGTTCCTCTTTACACAAGTATACTAACCTTTGTTGTTTCTTGGTAGTGTTCCTCTTTACACAAGTATACTAACCTTTGTTGTTTCTTGGTAGTGTTCCTCTTTACACAAGTACTAATGTCCATGGTTTCTTTCAGATACGAGGTGAAACAGTTCTTCATATCAGTGGAGTGGAACTGCCTTCAGATTTTCGGAACTCTCATTTCTACCACATTATTGACTATGTACCTAAAAAGATCAGTAAGAGTAGTTACTTGCGGGATCATGGTAATAAACAAGCAGAAGAAAAGAAACATAAACAGAACTTGAGTTCAACTGTTATTGGTGTGATAATTGTGGTTACTGTTGTCATTGTATTACTACTACTGTTATTGGTAGTAATTATGGTAAGTTTAAGTTATTGTATGGTATAACTATATCCAGAAGGATTACTATTGTTAAGTTACAAAAGTTTACTATTTACCAGGTATTTTATAAAAGTAAATTCTGAGGATTATTTTTGTTAACATGAGACAGTTCTTGTGTACAAGTTAATCTGTAGGGTCTATAACAGTAATCTCACATCTTTACATGATCTAATTAAGAAGCTGCTTATCCATTAAACTGAATAACAGTAATCTCACGTCTTTACATGATCTAATTAAGAAGCTGCTTGATCCATTAAACTGAACAACAGTAATCTCACGGAAGATATACTGCTAATAATAAACACATCTAGTACATAAGTATTGTTATTTTAGTAGATAAAAACTTATTCTTCAGCATTTATTTTTTCATTTAGTGTCCAGTAGATATAAAATCATTTAAACAGACAGTTTGTATATATATATATATATATAAACGACTTTTATCATAAACAAAACTACTGCTTTAAACAAGTTGTAAAAATATACCTAAATATTTTTCGTTTTAGTGATGACATCAAGGCTATCCCTAATGATTAGACCAAAAGCATCAAATATCAAGGTTGGAATTTTTGGTAAGAACCATGATATGTGGGATATGATAAGACCAGAAACTACCAACATGAAGATCAGGTTGTCTGATAATAATGACAACCTGTGGGACATGAGCAGACCAGAAAAAACTAATGTGAAGATCAGGTTTGCTGGTGATAATGACAATTTGTGGGACATGATCAGACCAGAAGATACAAATACAAGGCTCAGGTTTGTTGGTGATAATGAGAACATTTGGGACATGGTCGGAACAGAAGATACTAATATGAAGATTAGGTTGTCTGGTAATAATGATAATTTGTGGGACATGATCAGACCAGAAGATACCAATACGGAGATTAGGTTTGCTGGTAATAATGATAATTTGTGGGACATGATCAGACCAGAAGATGCAAATACAAGGCTCAGGTTTGTTGGTGATAATGAGAACATTTGGGACATGGTCGGAACAGAAGATACTAATATGAAGATTAGGTTGTCTGGTAATAATGACAACATGTGGGACATGATCAGACCAGAAGCTACTAATATTAGGATTAAATTTCCTAGCAACAATGAAAACTTCTGGGGCATGATCAGACCAGAAACTACAAACACGAATATCAGGTTTCCTGGTAATAATGACAATTTGTGGGAAATAAAAAGGCCTGTAGTAGCTAACATGAACATCAGGCTGCCTGGTAATAATGACAACTTGTGGGACATGATTCGACCAGAAGATACAAACATGAACATCAGGTTTGCTGGTGATAATGACAACTTCTGGGAAACAGTCAGGCCAGAAGCTACCAACGTGAAGATCAGGTTGCCTGAAAATAATAAGAATATTTGGGATAGGTTATTCCAGTTTAATCCATTCACTCCCAAACTAGTGAAGCAAGGAGTGTGCCCAATTCCTTCTTTGTCCTCTGTTTTCCAAAGCATGGTACAGGGTTGTGATAACAACTGTATGGTGGACAGTGATTGTCCTGGAAACAGAAAGTGTTGTATCACAGCTTGTGGATTTGGCTGCATTGAGCCTTTCATTCCCAGCCAGAACACAAGACCAAAATCTGGTACTTGTCCTTCTAAAGTCTTGATCGATTTCACCTGTAGCCAGCCTCGTCGTGAGTGTATAGTTGATCATGATTGCCCTGCATCTTCTAAATGTTGTCTTACCAGTTGTGGCCCAACCTGTCTTCAACCACAAGGTAAGGCATATTTTTAAAAGTTTAAAATATACTTTTCATAAGTTGTAACTAATGCATTTTACTCAGTAATTAACATTTTTTTAAGTTTAATTTAGTTCATTCACTATGAATATACAATTTATTTTTTTAAATGTCTATGAATTTGGATGAAGTTGTCTTGTTTTATTTATATATGTATTTCAAATGTTTCATTTTGCTTTAAATCTATTGTCCAGTATTGTCATTTAAATCCTGAGAGGCCAGCTAGTTTAATTAAGGCATACTGACTATGACATTAATGCTAAAAATACAACAGGGTGATGTATTAATAAAAAAGTATGATTTTAATAAATACGAGGTTATTTATTTTCCCCTGTGTTTTTATTTAAAGGGTTTTTTTACCTTATACTTTTCCAAAAAAATTTTGCAATTTGTTTTTGTAGATATTTTATGAATATATTTTAAAAGAATGTGTTTAAAGGATTTAGAAAAACCTAACTGTATCGAAACAGCCAACAATGTTTTTCAAAGCCAACTATTTCTTGTACAGTCAGTTATTGTTCAAATTATATTGCACAAATTAACATTGATAATGATGGTGACCTAATTACACTCGCAACTCCAAGAAAGAAATCCAGTTATAATTAGAGTGAACAAAGTTTAAGACAGAATATGGCATATGGTCCTCAATAATTAAAGAAACTCAGCAAATCAGTATTAAAAAGGAGGGCTAAGTTCTAAATAATTTAGGTACATGTACTTATGATCACATATAAACTGATATTTTTCTAATTCTTAAAAATTACATTTACAGGTTATTTAACTTCAAAATACATGTGTATTACTATTATTTTTAAATTGTCTAAAAAGCTGAGGGGGTTGAACCTCCTCCAGCCCCAATTCTACATATTTCATGGAATCTAATGTGACTAGTTAAAATTTAGGGATAAGTATCTTTTTATATCATTATAATTTTGAAAATATTTAGGTTAAAAATTTTGGATTTACAACATTTTACCTGTGATTTTCCTAGTGTGACTAGTTAAAATTTAGGGATAGGTATCTTTTTATATCATTATAATTTTGAAAATATTTAGGTTAAAAATTTTGGATCTACAACATTTTACCTGTGATTTTCCTAGTGTGTAGACGATCATTCTAAAAGCTTCTGCTCGAGTTCGATGAGTAATAATAATCTTGTTTATAGCACATAAATATTTACATATTTGATAATAATTTTAAGTATGTAATAGATTCAATTTTGTCAAAATTTTGTTGACCTTACTGGAAAAATGTTTTCCTATAATCTGGAATGCTTTGGTTCTTACCCATCTGACAGTTTTCTTAGAAAAGCACATGAATAATTTTCAAAGTAGAATAAGTGGAATTTTAATGTGAAACGGCTTATGAACTTGAAAAAATATTTTGTATGTCTTTTTTATAACATGTAATATAACGTATGCAATTTCTTATATTAACATTACTTGCTTACAGTGGCTGAATTATTTGCTCAAATTATGTTGGAATGTATCTGTTGTAGCTGTTTGGCCAAGGTTCGAGATACAGTACAATTTCACAGTTTCAAGTGGTGACCTTTCACTGCATTAGAAATCAGTCTCACTTAATCATAAGTGACATGGCAGTCTGTTGTCGAAAATCATTCTTTTTTAGTTGTTGATCATTACTATAATTGTTTTAATTTTTTTTTATATCCTGCTGTTGGCAACCATTATAATTGGTCAGTATGTTAGTCTGTTAGAATAATTTTTTATGCTTATTGATCATAATTAATACCTTATTTTATTACCATTTACCATTTTTATCAGTTTTACCAGTCATTATCTAAACTTTTGTATTGAAAGGGTGGCCTTCTTATCCACTCTCCATAACAAGCCAACCTAATAGTGGTATCTTGCATTTGGCATAGCTAGTGACATTGTAATATAACTTACAGTGCATGGTAGGATCTGAAATTTAGATTTTGAGGTTATTATAGTTAATTAAGATATGTACCAAAGAGTTTAAAATGTAACTTCTTAAAATTTTCTACTCTCAAACCTTGAATTCTATAACTTGTTATAGCCTTACCAGTGGAGCCTGTAAACATGGTGGTTATGCCTCCCACCTGTTCTGCCGATGGGGGTTTTGCAGCTGCTCAGAGTCAGGGAGAACTTTCCTGGTGCGTGGATGATGGTGGAAATCCATTACACAACACTCTAACTCGAGGCTTAGTGACTTGTGATGCTAAGGGTAATGTTGTTTTGCGTGGTAATAAATACAAAGAAATGTTTATATGCGTGAGAATTAGGTGACTGAGATATGGGTATAAAGAATGTAGTTTGTATAATTTGTGTGCACAGATATAATGGTATTAAACATGTGTACTAGATTTTGTTTTCACTCTTCTGATATATAAGAAAACGTTTTGAATTTTTTTATCTAAAAGAGATTTTGTGTAATAAAATCTATTAACAAAAGTAATTTGGTTTTAATCATTTAAATACTAATGAATACAAAATTTGGTTGGAAATAATATTTTGTTTTTGATTAAAGTGTTTTATATTGCAGGAAGAATTCTAGAAAGACAAGAGATTGATCCTGGTAAGTATATGAAAGTCTGATTGATATTAACTTAATATTTCTGACAGATGCTGTTAGCTTGGAGTTGATTTATAATAGTAATAATAAACTTAAACCCATATTATTTTTTGTTTATTATCTTTCATCTTTGTGCTAGGACTTTTCCAGCATTTATTCATTTTACAGTTCAGAATTGTTTGGTGTGTGTTTGATTCTCTGTTTTCTAGATAAAGTGCAAAGCACAATTTATTTAGAACACAATAAATAAACATTATTATATTTTAACTTGCTACACTTATGTTCATATGATTATAACACCAGCTTAAAGGACTTGATTAACATCTGATTCTTTATAATTTTTTTTGTCTTGAAAATCAGAGTAGGTTAACAATCAAATAAGTACAGCATTTGTCACTAAAACACTTCATGTCTTATACTGAACATTCGTTAAGTAACTGTAGCTTTTAAGATTTTAAGTTATGATGTTTATTTGGTATTATAATAAACATTTGTGAAGTAACTGTAACTTTAAAATGTTAATAACTTATGTTTATTTGGTCTTATAATGAACATTCGTTAAGTAACTGTAACTTGTAAGATTTTAAGTTATGATGTTTAGTTGGTCTTATAATGAACATTTGTGAAGTAACTGTAACTTTTAAGATGTTAATAACTTATGATATTTATTTGACCAGTGTGTCCAGGGTATGATAACAAACCACGAGTGTGTACAGATGAATGTGTAACTGCCTACTGTCCACAACATCCAGATGCTGTTTGTGTTGCTGACCCATGTAGAGATTGTGCCACAACCTTTGTTAATCAAGCAGGAGAGAAAGTTCTATGTGAAGGTGAGGAGATTAAAAATTCTTGATTTCCTTCCAATAAGTAAATGTAATAAGTGAAGTGTTTTATAAACTTTAATACAGACTATAGTTTATGAAATAAGTATTAGGTTATTTTTGAACAGTGATAGGCTGGCAGCGTGTCAACGAGCATAGTGACTGTAATTAGGACTTTTTCTTTGTTTATAAATTATTACCTATTGGTTTAACTAAACCAATTTTATATGACTTTTCTTGACTTATTAAAAATATTAGTTTTTTACAATGTTATTTATCAGCCCTTTTGTTTTGTTTTTAAGACAAATGTAGCCAGCCTCTGGCTGTCGGGAATTGCCGTTCTTCCTTACCACGGTATTTTTATAACAAAACTAGTGGAAGCTGTGAACAGTTTAACTTTGGTGGCTGTGAAGGCAATGACAACAACTTTGAAAGTCTTGAAAAATGCTACGAGACGTGCGAGCAGGAAGGTTGGTAAAACATTGAAAGACACTACTTGTTTCTCATTTTATTTCACACTGCTTCTAAATATGATTAGTTATAGTATAGATAATCCAGCTTCAAATTTTCACAGTTTTGTGTAAGCAAGAAACTGTTTCTTCATAAAAACAGTGTTTATCTATTAACAGATGGTATGTTAGACGCTCTGAATTCTACTAATTCTTTATTAATTCCTCAGTGCCAATGTGTGACCAGCCAAGAGATATTGGTTTGTGTAGAGGATATGTGCCACGTTGGTTTTACAACCACCAGACTCACACCTGTGAGGAGTTTATCTACGGAGGGTGTGGAGGCAATAAAAACAACTTTGAAACAAAAGAGGAATGTGATGCCAGGTGTCCAGGTAATTCTTTATAATATGTTTTAAGTTTTATCAGTGAATATTTCAAGTAGATATTTTCATAGGTAATATAGCTGTTACTGTTATCAGAAAATAAAAGGTAGGTATGTAACTAACTTGTTAACTTTCCCCAGAAATGCTAAAATATAGGTATTTTAGTAGTTAATGAGGTTGTTACTGTTACTAGTAAGACTTTTGTAGTACGTACAAGTATTTTTTTTATCCTCATTGATGGAGTTAGAAGCAGATCCCTAGAGAGCTTTCACTGGCTCTGGGGAAGGATTGGTATGTTTTGCCCCCTCTCAATATATTTTCCATCTGCCTTCTCCAGCTGCAGAGAAATTTATCTTGGGAAGTGTGTAATATAATTTTTTGATGTCCTTGTATGACAACTTATCCATCCTAGTAGCCCTCCTGTTTCAAAAAGTCCAACTGTAGCCTAATCAGTGACCTACATAATGACATTATGACCTCTTTAGACTTGTATTAAGTATTTCTATAGATACAACCTAAAATTGTATTTGCCTTACCACTTACAACAGCAAACTTCTTAGACGGCTTAAGAGACTGATCAAACAGAACACCAATGTCTTTTTCATCCATAACACTGTTAAGGTTATTCACATTAAAATTGTAATTATAATTCAAATTATGATAATCCACATGTATTACCTTGCATTTATTATAATTAAAAGTCATCTGCCATTTATTCATCGAAATCACTAAATAATGTATAAATCTTTTTGTAAAGCAGCCAGCAACACCCAAAACCTTAATATCACTAGCAAATTTAAGTAATTTATTGACTCTTCATTAATATTTATGCCACTGATGTAAATTAAAAAGAGCAAAGGCTCTGGAACTGAGTACTAAGGTACTCCACTTGTGACATTAATCCAGTTTGACTGGACTTTTGTAACAACCCTCTACACCCACAGTTCCTTTCATACTGAGCAGGATTAGTATTATGATGAGTAGTCATCATTAGAGTAAAACTAATGTGTCTCATGACACTCTACACACAGCTCATGTTAGCAGATGTACAGTTCTGTTGTTTATAGTTTCAACATTTGTTAACCCTTAAAAATTTTTCTTGTCCAGATGTTTCAGTGGGAAACATATAGCTCTGTGTTGTTTATACAGTTTCAACACTTGTTAACCCTTAAAAATGTTTTATTGTCCAGAAGTTTCAGCGGGAGATGTACAGTTCTGTGTTGTTTATACAGTTTCAACATTTGCTGACCCTTAAAAATGTTTTCTTGCCCAGGTGTTTCATCATACTCACTGCTACTATTTTCAGTTTTTTTATTACACATTTAACTTTTCACATGTAAAGCTGTGATTTTCATTCTTTAAAGTTAATAGGTTCAAACAGTTTAATCTTGATTTGAAGATGTTTATTACTCTATTTTTTGCTTCCTTTTGTATGTAAGTTCTGCCGATAACTTCCATATATAATAGGATTCTGCTTTATTTTAAAATGGGTGTTCGATAACATAAATATTTATTTAAAATTACCATTAGTCTTTAAATGTAACTCCTGTTTAATTTGAATTTTATCTATAGATCTGGTTCTGTGCCCATGGACATTAGTTAAAGGTCAGAACCTTGAGCCATGTAGCAGGCTGAAGTCTTGTATTAATGCCACCTGTCCTGCTAATCCTGATGCTGTTTGTACCGCAGACCCATGCTCATGTGAAGCAATGTTTGTTAACAACCAGACGGGAAAACCCGTTGAGTGTTTTGGTGAATCTACATCGGGTGAGGCTCTTTTTGTGTGATACTTTTTAATCGGGGTTGCACATGGAACACCGAACAAGCAATTAATGTACAAGTTTCCAAAAGAAGTACCTATTACAATGAGTGTTATCGTTGTTACAAGATCTGTGAAAATATTGAGCTTTATAGTTTTTATTTAAATGTTTAGAATATTCTAGGAAACATATTAACATTTGGTATTCTCAATTGTTAGCATGTGGATGTGAGGTATTTTGGTCTGTGCCCAGTTATCACTTTAAAAAATATTAGAAAATAATGATCCACACTATTGGCAGTGAGTGTGTTATTAGAGTGACAGTCACATTCCACAATTCAATCTGATAAGAACAGCCCAAAAGTTGATGGTAGGTGGTGTTGACTAACTGCTGTCCCTCTAGTGTATCACTTAAAACTTAAAGAGAACTAGTGCCTTGAGTAGATTTGCATGAAATTCAACAACAAACAAAAGTATTCAAGGCTTACTTTTGCTTATCAACTTCTTTTTATATAAAAAGCTTAAATTCATGATTTAAACATAATCTTGGTTTCTCACTGATCTGTTTTAATAAACAAAAGTCTATTTTCATGAAACTTTCAGAACCAGCACATATTGTTACTCCAACTGTTCCAAGACACACTCGTTGTGAAAATACCAGACGGCAGCACCTAGCGGACAAGACGTTAGAAAACAGTTACATTGCCCAATGTGATTTGAACGGCCAGTTCTTACCTATTCAGTGTGCAGTGGCACCAAACAGTGTTTTGTATGATGAAGAATGCTGGTGTGTGGATGAAGCTGGAATCCAACTTCCAGGAACAACTATATTTCCTCATGGAAGCCAGAACTGTGGTTAGTGACATAATGTCTAGTCATCCTTGTCTATCTTATGTATGGGTTATTTCCCACTTAATATTTTTCATTATTTTTATCAAATTCCTATAATTTTCAATTGCCTTTAAATCGATAAAAAATTATATAGAACAGTTTTCCCTAGTGGGTGTTTTTAAAATCCAGGGGGGGGGGCACAAGGAAAAGTTTTGAGGGTTTCAAAGTTATATTTGTTGAAATTAAACCAGAAGAAATAGGGGTTTTTCGTTCAACACATTTGAGCAAAAAATCATTGTATGGGTGTGTTTGTGGCAAGCAACGCTCACCAATGCTTCTCGTCTATTCATTAAGCATATCTATTTTTGGTGCCACTTTCAGTACTTGTATTAAAAATTTATTACAAGGAGGCATGAGAACTCATAGTTTGCTGGAGCAAAAATGTTTGGGAAACACTGTTATAGAATAAAGGTTTCATTTTCCAGAAAGATCATTCTTCACCTCTTTTTTTATATAAACTTTCAGAACCAGTGAAAGTCAAGAGAGTTGAGGTCACCTTAGCTTTTAAACATCGTTCAATGGACCAAGCAGCTTCTTCATTAGATCATGTAAAGAGGTAAGATTACTGTTGTTCAGTTTAGGGGACCAAGCAGCTTCTTAATTAAATCATGTAAAGACATGAGATTACTGTTGTTCAGTTTAATGGACCAAGCAGCTTCTTCATTAGATCATGTAAAGACATGAGATTACTGTTGTTCGGTTTAATGGACCAAGCCAGTTTTGTTGATAACAGCACACTGTTATATACAGAAGTATAAATATTACAAACCATAGTTTTGTTGATAACAGCACACTGTTATATACAGAAGTATAAATATTACAAACCATAGTTTTGTTGATAACAGCACACTGTTTTATATATAGAAGAAAAACATAGTTTAAAATACCACAGAATATGTTTATGTTTAGATATCTTCAGCTGTTATTACAACCAGTGTAAAGAATATATGTATTTTTTTGTCACATTAGAAATAATTGTTCCAGATTACACTAGATTTGAGAAAAGCAATTTTCAGTAATTTGTCCATTTTCTATTTCATATATTAGGGGATGCCTGTTTTGCCGAAAAAGATGTTGGACGCTGTAAATCATCCATACCACGTTGGTTCTTTAATACACGGAAGAATTTATGTGAGGAGTTTAGGTTTGGTGGATGTGGTGGTAATTTAAATAACTTTAACTCGAGAGAAGATTGTGAAAAAACGTGTCATGGCAAGTATTTATTTTTGTAGTGATGATAGGAATTTATACAAATTTGATTTTTTAGTGTAAAAGATCTAATGTTTGTAATATGCGAGTAATAATGCACAAAGATTACTTCTGTATTAGTTTGTTAAAGTTTTCAACTGTCTAAAATTCAGTGTTTCTGTCAGTCTTCAAATGAGCATTTGTCTAGCTCTTGAAATTTCAATTTTGAATCCTGTTATATAAATTAATATCTAAAAGGTTCAAAACATTGCACTTTTCAAATTTAATTTTGTGTAAACATAATGTCTCATTGTTTCTTTTTTAAGTTTGCCATGATGATATCTAATTTTCCACTACTGTAACTATCATGTTGATATAAGTAGCAATTATCTTGGAAATATAGAACTGTTACATGTGTTACTCTACAGTGGAGTGAATCCTCTTTAATCCAAACACATTTATAGTAAATTAATTCACCCATATTATCCAGACATCTGGATAGTTGAAGTAGTCACAATGGACATTATTAGTAACATGAGTTATCGAAAGAAAAGTGTAAGGGTGTAGACTAGTAAGGGTTAACAGGCAGTTAGTAAACAAAAAATAACTGCATCTACAAGAAACTCATCAGCTTTAATAATTATACAAATTACATTACCAAAGTGACATTTCATTATCTTCACATAAATTATTATTTTTTAAACAAATTATGTATTTACAAATCACTTTCTACAGAAGGATGTAATTACAGTCTGCTTTTGAACTGAATTTTTGTCTTTTGAAGCTTCTCAGCAGCCTTAAGCAAATAATAAGATGATGTCTTTAAGACTAGATTGTGCTTTATTCAGACTGACTGGTTCAACTGGTGGATCATTTTCAATGTTAAATTAACTGTTATCACAGTCTTGAAGAGAAAATAGATATGATGTCTTTATCTGACAACTCTTCATCATTTGGTTCTGCCCAGTTGATGATGAGCCACTGAGCAGCTGACACAGTATCATTACCACCTGCAGTGATTACATTTTGATTGTCACATGCTGCTTCACTTTGCAGCTTTGTCTTCCTTGTCTCAAAGTGTCCTTTGAAACTTTGAGCCATCCTCTGGAGTGTCCAAATTCTGTTACACCAAGCTGTTATAGTAGTTGATTAGCCCTCTCTAACTGTTGTCCAACTTAGTTAGCTCTCTCTAACCTCTGTTACACCAAGCCATTGTACTAGTTGATTAGCTCTCTCTAACCTCTGTTACACTAAGTTGATTAGCTCTCTCTCTAAGTTGTATTAAACCAAACTGTTGTTCTAGTTGATTAGCTCTCTCTGAACTCTGTTAAACCAAGCTGTTGTTCTAGTTGATTAGCTCTCTCTATCCTCTGTTACAACAAGCTATTGTCCAAGTTGATTAGCTCTCTCTAAACTCTGTTACACCATGCTGTTTTACTAGTTGATTAACTATCTCTAAGTTATGTTACACCAAGCTGTTGTCCAAGTTGACCAGCTCTCTCAGTAAACATTTCATCATTAACACACACATTTCGTAATGTAACATCAACGATACAGAGCTTGCTCTATGTTTGCATGTTTTGAATATCTCGACCTGAATCTTCTGGAATATTCACCCAATTTTCTTTGCTGTAAAGAATGCCAGATTTGGTTGACTTGCCGAAGAGAACATTTCTTTCAACACTGAAATGTCTACCAAATGTATCAAAGCTTGCACTTTGATTTGCTTTCTTGTTTAAACAAAAAATCATGTTTTAATGATGCTGATATTTCTATGTGTCTTTGTGTTAAAGCACTGTGACTTTACTTGACCATTGCATAAGTCACTGTGATGACCTCTGAATATATGTTATAGCTCATACGTACGTCCCTACTGTGATGGTTGTTCTAGGAAAACTGTTATAAACAGGAAGTTGTTAGTTAGTGGAGGTGTTTTGTGGTCAGTAGTAATTACCTTGTTTCTTGTTCTGATTGACACTTACTTGACTTGTGGAATCATGTGAGAATTACAGAATTATCTATTCATACAAAATGTATGTTTGTTATAAGAAATTGCTGTTTGGATTTGGAATATACAGACTATTGATTAAATTTACCATTGTTAAGATTTGTCTGTTGGAAAAATAATCTGGATTGTGAATAATATTGATGTTCATACTAATGAGGATTCACAGTATTGTCATATTGTGTAATTAGAATTGTTGGCATATATGATCAGTTTGTAGTATTGTCACATTGTGAAATTAGAATTGTTGTGTGTGTATGATCAGTTTGTAGTATTGTAACACTGTGAATTTAGAATTGTTGTGTGTATATGGTTAGTTTGTAGTATTGTCACATTGTGTAATTAGAATTGTTGGCGTATATGATCACTTTGTAGTATTGTCACATTGTGAAATTAGAATTGTTGTGTGTAGTATTGTCACATTTGAAATTAGAATTTTTGTGTGTAGTATTGTCACATTTGAAATTAGAATTGTTGTGTGTATATGATCAGTTTGTAGTATTGTCACACTGTGAATTGAGAATTGTTGTGTGTATATGGTTAGTTTGTAGTATTGTCACATTGTGAAATTAGAATTGTTGTGTGTAGTATTGTCACATTTGAAATTAGAATTTTTGTGTGTAGTATTGTCACATTTGAAATTAGAATTGTTGTGTGTATATGATCAGTTTGTAGTATTGTCACATTGTGAAATTAGAATTGTTGTATTTGTTTTGCAGCTTTGTCACATTGTGAAAAACTTAGAGAAAGGAACTTGAAATATCTTAAACACAGCAATGGAGCAGTATTTATTCCTAAGTGAGTTTATTTATTGTTATAATTATTGAAGTAAATTCTGCTTTTAATCTCGATTTAAATCTGTGTACAGACAATATATGCCAATCAATAAACTTTACGTCTGTTGTGATTATCTCTTTTTTATGAGGATAATGCTTTCTAGTGGTCACTTTTATAAACTGTATAAGAATATTTTTTCTTTTGTAGTGAGTTTTTCCTGTTGTTGATATTGTAATGTTTTTTATTTTTGATTGATAGGTATAGTAAATTCTAAATAGCGATGATCTTATTATTATTATTAAGCTGTTTACATTTTTTACTTTATTGATTACATGATGTAATGTTTATTACAGGTGTAACAAGGACACTGGTGACTGGGCCACAGTTCAGTGTTTTGACTCCATTGGGCTTTGCTGGTGTGCCAGCAAGGATGGGGAGCAAGTTCCAGGAAGTATCATAAGAGGAACTCCCCACTGTACATCAAGTAAGCTCTGTTCCTTTTGAAACACAGGTGTCCTTGCTAGAAGTAGATAACCATACCTTCTTACCATACAAGTTTGAAAAAAGTTGCATTTTTTATGCTTCTGACTGTAGCATTTTTTACAGAAATTTAGAGCATGTTGGAAGTTATTTTTGATAATCAAAGCAAACATTAATAATGCATTCTGTGCTAGTGTAAGTTTTGGACTAAGCTAAAATCTCGAAATAAGCATTTTTCTGTATTTTTGGACACTCATGTTAAACTTCGTTATTAATTTAATGTGATGAAGTTTTTTTTATTTATTCATTTCTGTAGGAATGGGAAGAACTTTAGATGAGACATCAAGTAAGTAATATAAAATCGAGTTTTTATATATTTCTTTCTTTGAAAAGACTGTTAGAATTTATGAACACTTTATCCCTTAATTTTTTAACATGACAATAAACAGTTCCACACCCTTGTTCTCAAAATATAATTTATATTTTATATAAGAGGATGTGAAAAGAAATGTTTCTCTGATTCAAAATAAGAACTTGTCAACTAATTTATTTTTATAACTGAATTCTTTTGAAATAGATAACCAAAAATTGGCAGGGAATTTTGGAGAATTTTGTGGCATGTAGACGGTGCTGATGTATTTAATATGTGTGTACATGTAGAAATGTGATAACAAAACCAAAACTTACAAAAGATTTAGGATTAAAACTAGAGTCATTGACTTATGAGAAGCTTATTAATGATTGGCTAGTTTACAGGGTATATTGTATCTGTTGTCTAATCTTTGGAAAGGTTATCAGTGATATTGTAGTAGTAGTTTGTGAATCAAAGTATGGTATGATGGAGCTAATATAATATATATTATTTAGTCTGTCCTGATGAAAAACCTGTCTACCTGTGTCCTGCCGACCTCTGTAACAACCAACACTGTCTAGCACACCCAAACGCCACCTGTCGTGTGAATCCTTGTGGAGGATGCACACCTGTGTTCTATGATGAGATGAATCACCCAGTGGACTGTAATGATGGTAACCTCTTCTGCATTTACTCTAGTTTTATAAACCCCAAATTTCATGAATGTAATAGTGGAGAGCTCTGTTACCAAAGTTGTTAAAAACTATATGTTGTTACTTATTATAGCATGTATATATATATATATATATATATATATCCTAGAGTTTAACCATAAACAAAACAATAATGTTTATGTATATTTTTGTGAAGTTTATATTATGTGGAGGTAAGATGTAAAGTGTTTCAGATGGAATATTCACTCGGAGGTTTTACTTACTTGCATTCTGCACATACTCAATAACAGGTGTAGTTACTGTTGTTAATCTATCTGTTAACTCTCTCTACATGGGCTCGGTTGAATTGACCAACCATGTGAGCATGTACTCGTTTAAAGTCATTATAGTTTTAATATTACTAATTTTTTATAAAAAGATTTGACTATCGAGTCTTTTTTCTACTAGTATGAGTGCAAAATGATGTTCATGTTAAGATTAAAAATACTTTTCTTCATCTCAAAAATTTCAACTTTCATTTTTGTAATCTCTTAAACTTTTCCTAAATACATTTCAAACATTTGTTTTCTGTAAAACTTTATATTCAATCTGTTACTTTCTCTTTCATAACTCTATACATGGTTGTTCAATTTGACCAATCTCATAACCACCAAAAAAAATCGAAATACATCTTAATTACCTTTTTTTCTTTCTAGAATGACATCAAATTGTAACATGAAACTACATTTGTTTATCCTATGTAGCTTTAAAACGTGTAACTGTATACATCCGTTTATATTTAAGTTTTATTGTTTTTTTGTCATTTAAACTGTTTCTAACTACTAGTACTATTCACATTATTATAACATAAGTTGTAAATCACTTGGGGAACACGGGGATCATGTTACACTACCTAATTACATTACCCATGAGCTGCTTGCGAACATGTCTCATGCAACTTTTGTATTATATTATTATTATTTATTTTACCTACTCTAACCTTAACTAACCTAAAGAGATCCCTATTTTTAGATTTTGGTTATTTTTATAATAATAAATAATGAATACACATGAAAAACAAGAAATAAAGTACTAACCTTGAACCATCTGTGTTCTTTTTTTGTTTGCTGTCGACCATCAATGACACTTAACCCTAATTTTTTTATACTAATGGTAGTAGTGTGCTAAATAATTTTTATTTAACTAAATATTGCACCAAAGAACATAGAATAGTAACATGCAAGAAGCAGACAATGTCCCATAAACAATTTTTTGGCTTTCTAAATATGTGACAAGAGCCATTAAAAATTTATCCAAGCTAGTCAATATGTTTCCTGTGAGAACAAAGCTTGTATTAAAAGAGAAATTAACATTGTTTTCTGTACAGGGTTTTTTATATTGCCTTATAAACCTAAGAACTTAAAACTTATATACTATTCAGATATAGATTATTAGCTATGATTTTATGCTATACTAACTGGTATAACATAAACAAAAATTAGTTTAATTAAATTTTGAATATCACTAAAACCCTCGTGATATGCACAGTAAAGGATGCCCGTGCAGAGAGGGTTAATAAATAAAAACATACAGTTGACATGAACTAGGGGTAAAAACTAATTTGAATATTCATGTTAGTTGAAAGTCTAAGTTTTCTTCAGAGTAACTCTTCTTGTTGGTTACGAAATGTATCTTTGAAACATTTTTTGCAACATCTCATCTTACAGTTTTATGTTTTGTATTCTCAGGTCTAACTACTTGTGTGAGAAAAGTGCAAAAAGTGTTGAATAGCCATGCCTGGGCAAATCAGGGGCTTCCTCTGAACAGAATCGAGGACTTTCTTCCTGTTAAATTACAGCATTCAAATAACTCACTCCCATCTTCTCCTTTACATTTTTCTCTTGTTCTAACATCGAAAAAAGACAATGGACTCAAGGAGCAAGATATAAAGTCTGTGGTCAAAAGGTCGGCATGGAATGCTAATCCTGGTGTAAAAAGTAAGTAATAAAAGTATTTTAGAAATTTACTTAAAATGCAGTTCTTTTTGTGAACTTTTAATATATTTTGTTCAGTTTCAGATAGAGTTAAACCATTTATCACTGTACTTATGATTAATTCAAAACTCAGTTGTTAATTTCATCAACTGATAACTTAAGCCTGAAAAAATTAACAAAAAACATTAATTCAAAGTAAGTAAAGCTTACTAGTGACCAAAATAATAATATTAGTAAAGTATTAAACACATCTAGTACATATGTTTTGTTATTTCAGAAACTAATTATAGTATATAATGGTTACTTGTGACTAGAAGATATACTGCTTATAATATGATAAACACACCTAGTACATCAATATTGTTATTTCAGAAACTAATTATAGTATGTAAAGTCTGCTTGTGACTAGAAGATATACTGCTAATAATATAATAAACACATCTAGTACATCAATATTGTTATTTCAGAAACTAATTATACTATGTAAAGTCTGCTTGTGACAATGGTTTGTAATATTTATACTTATACTGTATATAACAGTGTGCTGTTATCAACAAAACAATGGTTTGTAATATTTATACTTATACTGTATATAACAGTGTGCTGTTATCAACAAAACAATGGTTTGTAATCTTTATATTTCTCCTGTATGTAACAGTGTGCTGTTATCAACAAAACTATGGTTTGTAATCTTTATACTTCTCCTGTATGTAACAGTGTGCTGTTATAAACAAAACAATGGTTTGTAATCTTTATACTTCTCCTGTATGTAACAGTGTGCTGTTATCAACAAAACAATTGTTTGTAATCTTTATACTTCTCCTGTATGTAACAGTGTTCTGTAATATTTAT